GAATTTGGAAAACTCATGATATGAGTCCTAGGTTTCAGTTGTTGGCAACGCTTTGTCAGGGGGCTGCCGCAGACCACGTCGAATTGGAAGGTCCCTCGTTTGGAGGATGCGCAGTAGGCCCTTGGTGAACCTACAGAAGGAACCTACTTGGAGGATCAAACCCCAATGTTGACTGTACTTATAACCCAATCATACCCATGTTCGGGCACTTAGAGGGTTTACAAGTGGGAGTGGGTATAAGTGGGTTATAAGTACCATGAACCTAAAAGTAGCAGTTCAGCTCCCTGAGCCCATACTTGGCACAAGAGAGGCCTTCCAATCTCGTTTACAATACTCATGCCGACATGGAAATTGGCATGCTGCTTGGCTTGGGGGCTTGCGGCTTCGTACTTAAGACTCACCCAACAGCCTCAGCTGGCATCAGCATTACAAACATTCGTGAGTGTATACTACGTATATATATATATATATGTGTATATATATACTACATGTGTATATATGTATATGTATATGTATATGGATATGGATATGGATATGGATATGGATATGTATATGTATATGTATATGTATATGTATATGTATATGTATATGTATGTGTGTATATATTCTTGGGGTTCCTTTTGTGGATGCTAGTAACCAACCCTAAGCCCCAACCCGATGTTTGGGCTTAGGGTTGGTGGGCGTGAGGAGTCCTCTGCCCTAACCTAGAAACCAGAGGGTTTAGGGTTTAGGGGTTTAGGGTTAAGGGGACCTCCTGACATGAAGTATACTCACGTCGGCATTACAAAGGGTTGTGGGGGCATGTAAGAATCTTAATCTTGAGGAGGAGGGGACTCCTCTGTATTCTACCTAGAATACCCTCCACCCTAAACCCTAAACCCTAAACCGTAAACCCTAAACCTAACACGGAGGTTCTTTGGGAGCGTGGCTCATACAGAGATGCCTACGTAGGCCACAGCGATCTCTAAGGGGCCAGCTGCTCATTGCGGGCCGAGACACAGGAAGTTATAGGGTTTTTGGTTTAGGGTTTAGGGTTTAGGGTTTAGGGTTTGCATCTTTTAGGGCTATTAAGGCTTCGAGTCTCTGGGAGCCCAAGGTTTAGAGCTTTGGCGCTTCCGAGCGGAGAACGGGAGTGCCCGGCCCGACTTTGCTTCGGCGGGACTCTACTACAACTTTGGGGTTTAGGGTTTAGGGGGTAGGGTTTAGGGTTTAGGGTTTAGGGTTTAGGGTTTGGGGTTTGGGATTTGGGGTTTAGGGTTTAGGGTTTAGGGTTTTGGGTTCCTCGTCCTCACATTAAGGGAGCTAGCAGTTAGACTTTTATTGGGAGGGGTTAAAAGGCAACCAAGTTGCCAGGCAGGCGTGCTTTAAGAAACGGCGCAGCGCAAGTTTAAGCATGCTGCCCTGTACATAGGATGGTCGCGGCGAAGTTTGCCGGAGCCGTTTTCTGGTTTCGCTCCATGGGTAGTTAAGGGTTTTAGGGCTTTAGGATTTAGGGTTTAGGGGGCAAGGCAGTGAATGCATTGTGCTTTTAAGATCCCTTCCAACCAGCTGAAATTTTCCCGCGTCAGAGAAGAAGTGCGCCTTGCGTCGCTCAGACGTAGGGTTTTAGGGTTTAGGGTTTAGGGTTTAGGGTTTAGGATTTAGGGTTTAGGGTTCAGGGTTTAGGGTTTAGGGTTTGGGGGGTTCAATGGTTTTGTGGGCTCTGCGCATCTCAATACCCTGTCGGCTCCGGCATGTGATCCAGCCATCATGCTTTACTACTCGACCTCCAAGAAGGGAGGTTTGTTATCGAAAAGGCCTTCCTGCTGGCAAGGCGAGAGACACGACCTGCATTTCCGGAAGTCGATTCTGAAACTGTCTGTCCACACCATCTGCTCACCCTGACCAGAAACCCTAAACCCTAAAACCTACGTAGACATACATATGCATACAACTATAAATTATCAAGATAGATATACGTGACAAATACATTATAGACGTAGTTACCTTTAACAGTTGAGGGTTCCTTAGGCATTTCTTGCAGTCAGTTCACCAGGTGGTCAATGCTTACAGGAGGATATCGCATGGTCACATGGTCAGTTCTCAAATGTATGGGTCCCTTTGTGGGTATCCTAAACCCTAAACCCTACACCCTAAACCCTGAACCCTAAACCCTAAACCTTAAACCCTAAACCCTAAACCCTAAACCCTAAACCCAAAACCCTAAACCCTAAACCCCTAAACCCTAAACCCTAAACCCGAAACCTCCCCTCCACCATATCAACAACTTGACCCGCCAGCCGCTGGAAACCGTGCCAGAGAAGAGCAGTGCCACAACGAAACGACAGTCTTTCCCTGCTTCGAGCGTTTTACGGAGGCATCTCCGGTTCAGGGTTTAGGGTTTAGGGTTTAGGGGCCTACCCCGATTGAGCACCCAAAACCAACTGCTTATTGCTTTGGGTGTTTAGGCTGCGTGGGGTCTAAGGTTTAGGGTCTCGGGTTTCAAGGCTTAGGGTTTGGACCAACAAAACCCCAACACCAAATCGCATGATTGTGAGTTACGAGCCTTAATGCCAACCAAACCTCCAGCCCGAAAAAGCATTCACAAGCTCCTAGAGACAGAGCCCTGAGCCCTAACCCGCTTAGGGTTTAGGGTTTAGGGTTTCGGGTTTGGGGTTTGGGGTTTGGGGTTTGGGGTTTACATAAACTGCCGAACCGTTCTGCGTTGGAAGCTTTTGGCTTTGAGGCGCCTGGGGGACGGGGCGGGGTCGAGTGGGTTTAGTGGGTGTACGGCTGAGGGAAGTTTAGGGTTCAGTGGGTAGTTTAGGAACCCTAAACCCTAAACCCTAAACCCTAAGCCCTAAGCCCTAAGCCCTAAACCCTAAACCCTAAACCCTAAACCCTAAACCCTAAACCCTAAACTCTACTTTAGGGCTTTGTGTCTAGGAGTTGCCACAGCTTGCAGCCACTGGCTCGACATGCACCAGATGGGCCCTGAGCCGCACTGCAAATACCCCCCTTGAAACCCTCAATCCACTAAGCCCTTTTCGTCCCCTAAACCCTAAACCCTAAACCCTTAAACCCTAAGCCCCTAAACCCTAAGCCCTAAACTCAACATCAGCCCACTCCTTTCTAGCAGCACATCTTCCAGTCTATCTGAAGCCCTCAGCCCTGAACCCTAAACATCTCTCCCTGCCCAAACGATGTCTTCTCAGAACCCTGAAAGCTTAGATCCCAGAGTTGCTGTACCCTTATCATCACCTGAAGACGTGCGTTCTCTGGCCTTAGCCCTCAAGCCATAGACTCCTCAAGATGCAATCCGAACCCCTGAACCGTAAGCCCGTAGCCCTAAACCCTCAACCCTAAACCCTCAGCCAAACCACCACCTTGCCAGCCACCAACCTCCATATAGATTAATCCAAGAGCCTCCAAAGCCACGGAACAGAGGGCTATGGCCGGCCATGTGCACTTCGGCTGACTTGCGTTGGGAGACTAGGTTTTACATGAGTGAACACAGTATCCAACTGATGTTCTCTACCTTTTCGTTACCTTTATATCTTACTTCATGTTTTGGTACGGCTTGGGGTGCAGGCTTTTGGTTTTGGGTTTGGGTTCAGGGATCAGTTCTTCGGGTATTGAGTTGTGGGGCTTCAAGTCAAACCTGCGGTATTCTCGGCTGTTATATCTAAGTCGACGGGAACAGTAGCAGCAGCTCCCCAACCCCCCCCCCCCCCGCCCCCGCGTTTCCCGCACCCCCCAAACTCAACCCGCAACGCTGAAGCCTAAAACCCCCACCCTCTTAAGCCAAAATCCTGAAAACCCTGGACACCATAGACTCCTTCAGAACTTAAAACAATCTCTTGTGTGCTTCGTGAAGCGCCCGAAATTAGGTCAGGGTGTAACGTTTGAGAGTGCAAGGTCAGGGTTCAGCACGGGATTCCGATTCCTCTTATAAAGAAGTTCACCTTTCAGAGGACCCGTTGTTTTTGTGAACAGCCCATGCCCATACATTCTCAATTGCGACAAGTACAGACACAGAGAGGGAGAGAGTCAGATATGTCAGCATTTTGGTTGTTGATCTTCGACCCGGTGTTGATCAACTTTGCGTCCTGGTCTAGGCCATGACTTGGAGGTTCAGGGGTAGTCATGGCCCCAATTCTCACTGCGCTGATGAGTCCCCGAAATCCTCTACGTAGTTTATGAGTAGACTTCTAATCTCTACCCTAAGCTTACAACTTACACCCTAGCTCTGAACCTCCAAGTATCCACCCTACAGGACGCTAGAGCGTGTTCGCGCCCTCAACATTCCGAAGCCCAAAGCCCACAAGCCAAAGGGTCCACTCGCCGCTATACTTCAAGCCCAAACCAGAAACCCTAAACCGTAAACCCCCTAAACGCTACGACGCTCGCACCCTAACAGATGCTGAAGGCAACAGCTGGGACTCGTTGCCCCTAAGCCGGCGTCGCCGCCGCAGCCCTAAGTGAGAGACGATGCAGGCAGGATTGGAGTAGGGGGCAATCAAGGGTGTAGGGTTTAGGGTTTCGGATTCAGGGTTCCGGGGTTTAGGGTTTACAGGTGTCGAGAGGTGTTGGAATCACGGTTGTGAACAGGGACGGGCCCAATTTGTTTTTCAGCTTTGCTTGAGGACGCAATCGAGGTTTAGGGTTTAGCTTGATAGTCCCGGCTCTTTGCATCACGTGTGTGAAGGCAAACATGTAAGTGCAAAATCTACCTGCATATTCACTGCATCATACTAATGCCTTCATCCCCGAGCCACCTTAATCCTTAGACCTCTAGTTTAAGCCCTTAAACCCTTGAACTTCCGAGGGGGGCGGCACCCTCCCCACCCTCTGGCCCCCCCTTCATCCCGAAACATCCCCGCTCTAAGCCGAAAATCTAAGCCCTGAGCCCTAAACCCAAGTCCTAGACTCCAAACCCAAAGCGCTAAGCCCTAAACCCTAAACCCGAAAACCAAGCAAGTGAACTGAAGAGGTGTCTCTGGGTTACACGCTGTCCGGCGATGCAGTCGGCGCAGCAGCTCGGTAAACATGCCCGGGTCGCCACTGCGATGTTCCTTTGTACAAGTGACAGGGTTTAGGGTTTAGGGTTTAGGTGGGTACATGTGCAGTTGAACAAATTGATGCACATGTTGACAGATAAGAGAGAAATATGACAAGTCGCTTGCAGGGGGGTAGGGGGGGCACCGCCCGTCCCCCATCACCCCTCCCTTGCGAACATCGCACTCCGGTCCACGAAGCAGACTTTTGTATCATTGTAGAGTTCAGCGTAGGGTCCAGAATCCATGTTGTGCTGGATGCCTGGAGGCGGCAACCTGGGGGTATAGTCGCCTACAAGCGCACGGGCTGCGCATACTGAGCTGTACCAAGAAGCCTGGATTGTTTAGATCAACATATGTGGGTGGTTCCGAAAATACGGGACCCCTAACATAGAAGCCAAATCCCGGAGCACCCCCCGGAGCTCCAATCGCCTGTCGCCCTAAGCGCCAGTTTGGCTGCCAGATTACTCAGACGCCCGGTTGTGCCAACATGTCATTTTTGCTGAGGGCTCGGTTCTCGTGCAAACCCCTAGACGCTATACCCCAAACCCTGAACCCTAAACACTAAACCCCAAGCCCCAAACCCCAAACCCTAAACCCCAAACCCCAAACCCTAAACCCCAAACCCCAAACCCCAAACCCCAAACCCTAAACCCCAAACCCTCAACCCTAAACCCTAAACCCAAACCCAACCAAGGCTTCTTCACAAGCTGGAGACTGGACAGGCCCCGCAGCTGCCACTTGCTCTCTGGGAAGCCTCCGAATAAAGCCCGAAGCCCCGAAGCATGAACTGAAAAAAAACCTTATACGGTTTAGGGTTCAGGTTTTAAAATTTAAGATTTAAAACATAGAATTTTACATTCAGGATTTAAAACAATATTAACTAGCAAAGATTACTTACCCCTTGACCAACAAACCCTACAGCAGCAGCAGCAGCATCATCATCATCATCAGCAACAGTTCTAACTGTGTCCGGGCCACAGGAATTGAGCCGTCCTGCCCTGCTCCTGTTTTGTATAGGTTGCTTACTGATCTTACGTTTGGTTGGCCGGGAATGAAGAGATTGGGTACTATTGTTTCTGCTACAGCGATCTTTGCTACTGTATTCGTCCAAGAATTCAGACCATGATTACCGGTACCAAGATCATGATGATTGTTAGACCATCCATTACCATATTTCCTAGAACTCTTTCTTGCTTTCTTGTTCTTACTTCTATTCCTAAACCCTATATAAACCCCAAACCCTAAACCCTAAACCCGGCCAGGGCCAGGCACAGTTAGGGCTTTTAAGGGTTGTGCGTCATGGCCCTCAAGCCCTGAGGTGCCAAAGGGGTTTGAGGGGTTTAAGGGGTTTACAGGGTTTAGAGGGTTTAGAGGGTTTGTAAGAGGGTTTGTAGGAGGGTTTCTAGGGCTTATAGGGTTTATAGGGTTTTGAAGGTTTATAGGGTTTGTAGGGTTTGTAGGGTTTAGAGGGTTTATAGGGTTCATAGGGTTTGGAGGGTTTAGAGGGTTTAGAGGGTTTAGAGGGTTTGTAGAGTTTAGAGGGTTCAGAGGGTTCAGAGGGTTTAGAGGGTTTAGAGAGTTTAGAGGGTTTAGAGGGTTTACAGGGTTTATAGGGTTTCTAGGGTTTATAGGGTTTATAGGGTTTAGGGTCCACACCCCCATCTGGACCTTGTAGCAATCCAACCGCGGGGCTCTAGATTCTAGGCTCTAGGAGGTCGGCTTGCCACTTTACACCCCAAAAAAGTTGGAAACCTTTTCTAAGGACAAATAGTGCTGGGATTCCCTATACTTTACTCAATTAGGGATTGAGGCTATTGAGTTTCCAACTTTTTTGGCTTCTACGCAAGGCTTTGTGGTTGGTGGCCTGTTGCACCTCAATTTGTTTTTTTCATAATCTCTGGGGGTTCAGGGTTCAGGGTTTAGGGGTTTGGGGTTTAGGGTTTAGGGTTTAGGGTTTGGGGGGGGTTATTTCCACCGCCGAGCAGGCAGACATCGTAGACTTCACCCAGCACCTCTCAGCCAAAGCGAAGTGCCCCGACTCGGTAGTTCTGGTGTTCTTACATTCTTGGGTTTAGGGTTTGGGGTTTAGGGTTTAGGATTTAGGGGTTGAAGTTTTTTTGGGCTTCGCGTATCCTGCAAGAGGTCCCCGAACCTCCCCCCCCCCCCGCCCCCCCAAAAAAATTTCCACCTAAGAATGTTTCCCCTCAAAAAAATAAGTTGTAGGGGAGGTGGTGGGGGGCCCAGCGTTTAGGTGGTGCTGGGGCCTGACGGTGGTAGGGGGAGGTACGGGTGACAGGGGCGTGCTTTTGTTTCTCTGACTGCCTTGACGGCCCGGGCACGACGCCGATGGAGGTGGTAAAAAGTTTCTGCTTGAGCTTTTAAACATCCGCATTTTTGAACATGGTCACCGTAGTACTTCAGGCCTGAGATTGGTCTTAAGGGCCGGGGGGTGTGTGGCGCAGTTTGCTCTTGTTGTTCAGTGGGGCCTTGTTTGGGGGCGTACCTTCGGCTGATCCTATGAGAAAACTTGTATCTGCCCAAGTTGAGAAGTTTTTCTGCCTTGACTGTGGAGAAGTCATGTGGTGTCCAGCCAAGACAGAACTACAGCACCTCAGCCCTAGTCCCTAGACCCATCAAGATCTCCTACACCCTGAACCTTTTACGTTAAAGTCAATGAAGCCCCAAACCCTGGCCCGACACCCGCAGCCAAGAAGCCTGTAAGCCCTAACACCCTAACCCTAGACCCTCCCCCTAAACCCCAAACCCTAAACCCTAAACCCTAAACCCTGTGAGGCAAGTGGCATGGCAAGCCGCACTGCAGTCCGTCGCCGACTTGAGGCAGGTGGGCCTGTTGCTCGGATGCCATTTGGGGGCTTCCGAAAATAAGGGACCCTAAACCCTAAACCCTAAACCCTAAACCCTAAACCCTATAAGCCCTAAAGCCTAAACCCTAAACCAAAAGCATGTTACGTAGTTCCTTTAAATAGTAGGATTTATTTATAAGACGGACTCCCATAAGGTACCCCTGATTTCGGAATACTGTACCCCATTTCTCCATTTCTACGCTGGGTCTACTCTGCAAGCTTCACGCAGAGAATGAACAAACTTGGCCCTTGGGAGATTTTTATCTGTCCCCTTCTTGAGTTTGAAAGGATCATTTTTAGGAAGACCTATTGTGATCAGAGGGTTTGTTTTGGAACGCTGTCGTCCGATATGGGCCTTGTTGACCCTGGTGCCAGCCTTCTTGTTGCTATTGCTGGGAAGGAATGTGTAGGAATCATGAGAACAACCATTCCTTCACTCCCTACAAAGGACATTGACGCGACTCATGCCAGCTCTTGGAGAAACAGAGCCCTGGTTTTGTGCTGACGGTATTGGCCTGGGAGCAGGGTACTGACCGAAGCCTAGAGCCTCGACCATCTGCTTTCTCCGATGGCTATGCTCTACGAAGTCCGTCCAGCCTTCCCTTAACCCTAAACTCTAAACCCGAAACCCTAAACCCTAAACCACTAGTTTGTTCTGGTCCTATCTCTTGGACAAGAGATACAGCTGCAGCCAGCTCGTGCTGCCTGAACTAAACTGCCCTGAACTGAACTGGCCTGGAGCCCTCAATCCCTCCAGTAAACATGAGTCATTGAGTCCACATCTACACCCTAAATTCCCCAAACCCCTGAACCCTACGTCGCCCCCTCCCCCCCCCCCCCCCCCCCCCCCCCCCCTCAAAAAAATCCTAAACCTCGCCACAGCCCCAACCCCAAACCCCAAACCCCAAACCCAAACCCCAAACCCCAAACCCTAAACCCCCCTCCCCCCCCCCCCTCTTCCACCATCCCGTCCGAACCCGAGGCTGCCAGACACCATCGTCTTTAACGTCGCCGGCCGCGCCTGTGCGGGCGGCACCCAGCGCAGCCTGGCAGTGCCAGTTGAAGCGGCTTTTCATCTTATAATTGAAGTGCTTCTTGAATATACATATAATATAAACTCTATATATATATATATACATATTATGTATATATATATATAGAGTTTATCGATCTGTGATTATCTGTGTAGATTTGAAAAAGTAAATGCTACTTCTACTAGATTGAACTTGGCAGGCCAACTCTAAACCCTACACCCTAAACCCTAAAAACTAAACCCTAAACCCTAAACCCTGAACCCTACACCCTAAACCCCAAGAGTCATCCCAAGGCCACCGCCAGGCAGCACCTGGTTCTTGGACTCATGCCCTTCACCTCCTGCACACGGAGCGCCCGAGCGGCAGCTGATGTAACTTTAGGTGCCACCTTTGGGGCTTCATAGGTTTAGGGTTTAGGGTTTAGGGTTTAGGGTTTAGGGTTTAGGGTTTAGGGTTTAGGGTTTAGGGTTTAGGGTTTAGCGCCATCTGAAACTTAATGCTCCAAAACGCGTCCATGCTGTCTCGCCGGTTGGTTCTCAGCAAGTCTTTCCACCTTGCTGGTCTCCATACACACGCACAGCTGCCTAAGACAGGAGCCTAAATGAGTACCAATGCAACTCGATAAAGTTCAAGCATCAACAGAGCTACATGCCCCCTATATCATCGGTTCCCCCCTTATTGCAGGCATGACCAGCTGAGACGTGTTGGAATGTTCAGAGTGCCCCAGGCCTGCTCATTGGGATTGCGCCTTCCGTGAATCGTGTCTCCTGACTTGAGCGTGCCTGTAAGCCCTAAACCCTAAGCCCGAAACCCTAAACCCCACCCCCGAGGCTGCCCATGCAGCGATTGGAGCCTGATGCAGTCAGCCACGATGCTGGTTTACAGTTCAGGGTTCAGGGTTTCGGGATACTTTTCAGGGTTTAGGGTTTAGGGTTTATAGGGTTTCGGGTTTATAGGGTTTAGGGTTTAGGGTTTAGGGTTTAGGGTTTAGGGTTTAGGGTTTAGGGTTTAGGGGCCCTCTTTTCAGGGTTTAGGGTCTAGGGTTTGTAGGGTTGTTTTCATTCGGGTCAGCCGAGGAGAGTGTGTGTTCTCGGGGAAGAGGGTGTAACCCTACCTTGAAACCCTAAACCCAAACTAAATCCGAAACCCTAACTCCTAAATCCTACTAGTATGCCCTAAACCCTAAACCCTACACCCGAAACCCCAAACAAACCCCAAGACCCTACCCCCGAACAGTCCGTGTTGGTGGCACCACACGGATCGGACCTGAGGCGCTCGATCTAGGCAGCACACCCCTCTCAACCCTTCCACTAGGGTTTAGGGTTTAGCATTTTCTTCCCCTAAGGGCCCATGTACCTCAGCAGCTGAGACCCCTACAGCCTGAACCCTGAAGAAACATGATCCCTGTACTCGAAAAACCCTAAACCCTAAACCCTAAACCCTAAACCCTAAACCCTAAACCCTAAACCCTAAACCCTAAACCCTAAACCCTAAACCCTAAACCCTAAACCCTAAACCCTAAACCCTAAACCCTAAACCCTAAACCTGAACCCAAAACCTTAAATCCTATAAACCCTTCGCCAAGGCTTCGGCACGGCGACGTCGGCACTCCGGACCGGAGGCTTGCTCCGTGATTTCGTCTGAGGTTTATGGATTTGGGGTTTAGGGTTTAGGGTTTAGGGTTTAGGGTTTAGGGTTTAGGGTTTAGGGTTTAGGAAATTAAGGGAGTGAAAAGAGGGACCCTTATAAGGGACTTCAGGGGGTTCTGTGGGTTTTTTTTTAGGGGCTACTTGGGTATATAGAGACTATATAAGGCATGTGTACGGGTTGTATAGGGGAATAAGATTAGGGTCTCTTCTAGGGGTCCCTCCTTCACCCCTTAAGGCTATATATCGGAGGGCGTATCGTAACGGGATGTAGCGCTCAGATACGTACCGAAGAACTTCTTGAAGTCCTGCCTTAAGTGTTTCGGGTGGAGCGCTTAGGGTTCAGGGCGTACTTGCAGGTTCATTCCCAATTTTCGGTAGGGTTTGAGAGGGTTTATAAGATAAGTATAGTTGTCATGCTTAGAACCCTCAACCCTAAACCCTACTTCTAACTACCCAAGAATGGACAAGAAGAAGGCTGGGCATTCCAAATCTTAACCTTTGTAGAACCCTAATTCCCTAAAGCCAACAACCTCCAACTGCCCAACCCCGACCCTTTGTAACCCCTAGAAACCCTACAAGACCCCATGAGCAAAAAACGCTATGAAAGCCCAAAAACTCCTCGTAAAAAACCCTAAGTTACCATGAAGCCCTCTGAACCCTCAACCCTACACCCTAAGGCAAGCCCTAAACCCTATGAACCCTAAAACCCCAGGAAAACCCTATGTGAAAACCCTATGAAAAGCCTATGAAAAGCGTATGAAAAGCCAATGAAAACCCTGCGAAAACCCAGCGAAACCCTATGAGAACCCCATGAAAACCCTCTGAAAACCCTCTGAAAACCCTCCGAAAACCCTCCGAAAACCCTAAACCCTAAACCCTAAACCCTAAACCCTAAACCCTAAACCCTAAACCCTGAAGCGGCAAGGCCGGGCCGATGAGGCCTCGCGCTACCTCGCCGATCTCGCAGCGGCCTCCCTTCGCCCGGGGCTGACGTCGCACAACACCGCGCCTGGGTCAGCGTTGTAGGGTTTAGGGTTTGGGGTTTAGGGTTTCGGGTTTAGGGTTTAGGGTTTAGGGTTTAGTGTTTTGGGTTTACGGTTTAGGGTTTAGTGTTTAGGGTTTAGGGTTTAGGGTCTAGGGTTTAGGGTTTAGGGTTTAGTGTTTAGGGTTTCGGGGTTAGCGTTTAGGGTTCAGGGTTGAGGGTTCAAAGTTCTGGGTGTGGGGTTTCGTTAATCTTTCGGGTTTGGGGTTTGGGGCCTTCGGGTTCGATACTTAGGCTCAGTTGTTTTTTCTTTCGCGTTTAGGGCTCAGGCTTTCATACTTAGAGGGTTTGGGGCTCAATCTTTATGAGTGTTTGGGTTGAGGGTTTCGGGTTTAGGGCTTGGGGTTTCATTAGGGTTGAAGGTTTAGGGCTTACGGTTTAGGGTTTGGGGTTTAGGGTTTAGGGTATGCCTTCGCGTTTCCTCGAAGGGTATTTCTTTAGGGTAGATAGAGGGGCAAGGGCATAACCCAAACCCAAAGCTCTAAGCCTTAAGCCCCTAAGCCATCAACCTTATAGTCTCAGCCCTATAGGGATCTGCGGTTTAGGGTTTAGGGTTTAGGGTTTAGGGTATAGGGTTTAGGGTTTAGGGTTTAGGGCTTAGGTTCGTTTAAGGGCTGCAGTACGCGGGGGGTTCAGGGGGAGCATGTAACCTAAGGTTCCCTAATACGCCCTACTACTCCCTAAGCCTCCCTAAGCTTCTCTAAGGCTCCCTAGGTACCTACCCTGAACCCTGAACCCTGAACCCTGAACCCTAAACCCTAAACCCTAAACCCTAAACCCTAAACCCTAAACCCTAAACCCTAAACCCTCCCTTAAGAACCCTATAATCTGCCTTTTTTGCGCGTGTTGGCGGAGTGCGCAAGAGGTCAGCAAGCCGGGGGTCCTTCTTTTTTTAGGGGTTTTGGGGTTTAGGGGTTTGCGGTTTAGGGGTTTGGGGGTTTGGGGGTTTAGGGGTTTAGGGGTTTTGGGGTTTTGGGGGTTTAGGGTTTAGGGTTTAGGGTTTAGGGTTTTGCGATTTGGGGTGTAGGGTCTGGGGGTTAAGGGTTAGGGCTTAAGGTCGTGAAGCCTATGCCCCTTCTAAGCTCGAAACCGAAGCCAGAGCCTCATAACCAGCCTGAAGTTCAACCCTAAACCCTAAACCCTAAACCCTAAACCCTAAACCCTAAACCCTAAACCCTAAACCCCTAAACCCTCAACCCTAAACCCTAAACCCTAAGCCCTCAAACTCCAGCCTTAAACTACACCCGACCAACAACTCAAGCCTTCATTCCTACAACCCTAAAGCCGAAACACCTTTTTAGGGTTGGGTTAGGGTCAGATTTAGGGTTTAGGGCTGAGGTTTAGGGTTAGGTTCAGGGTTTAGGGTTTAGGGCTCAGGGATGAGCATGATAAGAGCAAATAGTGCCAAGAGCAAAGCTGATAGCTGACGGTACTACAACAAAAACAATCAATACAATAGTCATGCCAGCCGTTACTACTAATATATCATATTGAACAACCGCAATGTAAACAACAAGAGTGTTAGGACATCCCCGCCAGACGCTTCCCGAGGTCATCAGTGCTTATGCAGAGCGAGGTCGTGTCTGACGCCGCAGTTACTAGAGTTTCAGGGTTTTTGTGGTTTAGGGCTGTGGGCTTTAGAGCTTGTTGGGGTTTGGGGCTTGGGCCCGCAGTGTTCGGGTAGGCGGGGCGGGGGGGGGGGGGGGGGGGGGGGGGGGGGGGGTGGCGAAGGATCTAGGAGTCCAGCATGTCAGCTGGGGATCACGTTACACTTCGGTGATAAAGCGTAATGCAGGGTTCTTGGACTCCAATCAGACGCGCTTAGTTTATGGTTCTGGGGCCAAATCTTTGTTTTCTTTAAAGGTCTTTGCTACACGGGCTCATGCCGGACAGAAAGGTCACGGGGCATGATGAAGCTTCTTTCAAGGCCATCCTTTTCCAAGCGTTGCTGCTTCCGGGCTTGTAGCCGAGGCCTTCTAGGTTTAGGCACGCATCAGCTGCTTGACGTGTTAGGGTTTAGGGTTTAGGGTTTAGGGTTCTACTCATGATGGTTGTAGGTACATCGACATCGTAAGTTATGACATGGTGGCGGCATGCTTTTCGTTGGTTGAGGCTCCTTAAGCAAAACCGAGTAAGCCCTCAACCACCAACCCATGTACTTGCCGAGGCTGGCAAGATGCCATTCGCCAGTCTGAGCTTGCGACAGAATCTGGGCTGACCAGCGACGAGTTCACGTGCACGTCTCTGGGCCGTCGTTGAAAGACATTTTCCTTATTGTCCTTAAACACCCAACCAACATCCCTAAACCCTGAACCCTAAACCCTAAACCCCTAAACCCTAAACCCCTAAACCCGAAACCCCAAACCATTCTAAATAACATCTATACTACGTTTTGCTTAAGAACCCCCTTATAAGGAACATTTTTTGTTTTTTGTTGTTTACAATTTTTTGGAGGTTCTTAAGTATACGGAATGGCTCAGGTCTGTGATCAATGCCTGTCGGCAGGAGCCGCAGGTCTGTCATCTTAGAAACTCGCTGAAGGAACCCTGCAAAGACGTAGGGTTTAGGGTTTAGGGCTTAGGGCTTAGGGCTTAGGGCTGAGGGTTGAGGGTTGAGGGTTATTCGGAACCTCCTTTGAAGAATCTAAGAGAGGTTACATGGTCCTTTTAGGTTTTATAGGCTCATTTACGCGGTTTATAAGGGTTTCCCCCCCCCCCCCCCCCAAACTAAGGGCCCATATTCAGGGACCATGTAGCTACCCGAAGAAAGTCGGCGTACATTGCAGCGTAATGAACAACCTTATGAACCCTCTCCTTGTTAGGGTTTAGGGCTGCAATTCAGGGGTTTAGGGGTTCAGGGGTTGTTAGGGGTTTAGGGTTTCCAGGTTCAGGGTTTAGGCTTCAAGGGTTTGGGCTTGAGAGTTTAGGGTTTTAGGTCTGTAGGGTATTAGGGTTAACGCGTGTTGGTTGAGCGTTCGGGTGCAGAGATGAGGGGCGGCCGGTGGAATCACGCGTAGCATCGCTCTGGTGAAGATGCCTTTGCCTCGTAATTAAAATGTTGCAGCGGCTCTTTATTCCACTCCTTTTGGTTAGCCTGCAAACCCGACAAACAATGCATCGTACTTTTGCTTCTAGAACACAGGAGATCCTAGGGTCTAGTAATTAGGTCCCAAATCCATAGCATGCATAGCTCGCATGTTGTATTGCAGGTAGGCCGGTAGGTAGATTTTACACAATTTTGTCAGAGCCTTTTGGGTTTATGTATGTGAACCATACCTAGGAGTTTCAGAGGTCCCTAAACCTAAAGCCTAAAGCCTAAAGCCTAAAGCCTAAAGCCTAAAGCCTAAAGCCTAAAGCCTAAAGCCTAAACCCTAAACCCTAAACCCTAAACCCTAAACCCTAAACCCTACACCCTAAACCCTAAACCCTAAACCCTAAACCCTACACGTCGGTGCCGGCCGCAGGCGTGGCTTCTCAGCTGCTGCTTCTTGGAGCAGTACCGTTGTCATAGTTGGGTAACATTTTACATGTTTAAGGGTACTTAAACCCTAAACCCTAAACCCTAAACCCTAAACCCTAAAACCCCAATAAGGAAAATAAAGTTTTTTTAAGGGTACTTAGACCCAATAAGGAAAATATAGTTTTTTTTAAGGGTACTTAGACCCAATAAGGAATATAAGATATGCTTGTTTTCATACTATCCCAACCATAAACTAGGTACGTGGGCATCCAGGCTTCCCTGGGCGACGAGGATTGCACAGCTCCAGCCAAAGCCCCCATCCTAAACCCTAAACCCTAAACCCTAAACCCTAAACCCTAAACCCTAAACCCTAAACCCTAAACCCTAAACCCTAAACCCTAAACCCTAAACAAAAAAAACCCAAAACGCAGGTGTCCAAACTGCACCCTTAAACCCGGAACCCCTAAAGACCCCTTTTCGCCTTTTTGTTGAGAGGTTATCATATAGGGTGGTAGAACCCCACACCCACGACCGGGGGCACACCAAAAGGGCAGGAGATTGAGGTCGACTTCGCAGCCTTGGTTTTGTTTATTCACTTAGCACACACCACCTTTCTCACAGGGTTTCTTTGGGGCGGGGAGGCAAGTACTGGGATCATATCTTACGCCAAAACCCGGTTTGGGGTTGACGGCTTCGGGTTTAGAGTTCGAGGGTGCCTTATCAGTTGTTCATCTTCCCTCCCCTGGGGGGGGGGGGGGTCTCCTGCAACCTTGGTTTAGGGCTTAGGACTTAGAGTTTAGAGTTTAGGGTTTAGGGTTTAGGGTGTAGGATTTACAGTTTAGGGTTTAGGGTTTAGGGTTTACGGTGAGGAGTGGAGCGAAGCCGTGTTCAATGCGGCCCTGTCTTCGTGCGGGGCGAGCGGCTGGGCCTTTGCCCTTTGCACCGCGACGAGGCTGAAGCAGCGAGCCAGGCCCGGCAAAGCTCCTTCCAAGTTTGTTTCCTTAGGTAGGGTTTAGGGTTTAGGGTGTGGGGTTTGGGGTTTGGGGTTTTGGGTTTGGGGTTTGGGTTTGGGGTTTCGGGTGCTTTTATAGCCAATTCTTGGTCCGCTTTGAAATAAAGACCCAGTCCCCTAAACCGCAAACCCACGACTAGAACCAACCTGGGCTTCGCTGGAGCTTACCTTGCAAAGGAAGTTGCCTGGACAGTCTATTCGTGCTCCGGCACATTCAATCAAGAACCCAAGTGCAAATGCAACGAGGTACAGGTGCTTGTGCAAGCACACCTGTGTTTTTGTTTACAGACTTTGTGCCAGTGTCTGTGGCACGGGTGCTCGGGTTTAAAGGTTTCGAATTGGGAAAGTTGGTGCGCAAGGGAGTTCGCACACCTTCCCTGGTTTGGTGGTGTGATCTGTGATCGGTTCGGCACGGTCTTCGGGGTCAAGGGTTTAGGGTTTGGGTGATATATGTGAAAAAATGCGATGCACATGACATATGTGTGTCCTTGTCATTGTTGAAACGGTCTATACCCCCAAGGGTCCCCCTACTTGGAGGTTCATGGTACATATTAACCAATTATAACTCTACCTTTTAACTGTACTTCTAACCACATTTGGGCACTTAAGGGGCATATAAGTGGGGTATGAGCGCACTTATAATTGGTTAATAAGTACCATGAACCTACAACCTACAAGCCCTAGGATTGGGGCCCACCAAGGCCCGAAGCTTTTCATCAGCAAGCCCTGAAACGGAAGATCAGCCTGAAAGCTGCCACCCACGAAGCCCCTAAGCCCGATAGCCTTGCAAGAAGCACCCCTGAACCCTAAACAGCTTGAAACCCTAAACCCCCAAACCCTAAACCCACAAACCCTAAACCCTAAACCCTGAACCCTAAACCCTAAACCCTAACCCCCCCCCCCCCCCCCGGCAACAAAAACACACACACACACACACACACACACACACAGAGACACACAGACACACAGACACGCAGACACACAGACACACAGACACACAGACACACACAGACACACACAGACACACACAGACACACACAGACACACACAGAGACACACAGAGACACACAGAGACACACAGAGACACACACACACACAGAGAGAGACACACAGAGACACACACAGACACACACAGACACACACAGACACACACAGACACACACCCACACACCCACACACCCGCACACCCACACACCCACACACCCACACACCCACACACCCACACACCCACACACCCACACACCCACACACCCACACACCCACACACCCAGACACCCAGACACCCAGACACCACACACCACACAAGGGAAGTATGAAATATACCAAGGCCCAACCAAGTAGGGCACACGAAAAAAGGGGAACCCTGACATAGAAGCTGATCGAATCTGTCAGCTTGGGAAGATGCCAGCTGCTCTACAGGGAGAGTGGCACCCTTACTTTGCTGCTAAAGTTAAGGTGCATGCCACACACCGATCGAGATCTACGATGGAGGTTGCGGGTTTTGGGGGGTGGGGGGGAGGTCAGACAACGCTTTTATCCGTAGTCAGACTCCCAACTCAAGCCTTTTATTCCAGGGCCCTAGACAGGTAAGTATATATATATATATATATATATATTGGATTATCATGTTCACAAAAAACAAAACATCAACACTCCCCGACGCTTTGCAGGCGCCTCGGCGCCGCCTCCCTGGCAACCCTCGTCTCGACCCGCGGTTGGGCGCACGCCTTGGAGGAGTTTGGAGGGCTTTGATGAGGGTTTAGATCTTAGGTTCAGGCTTTAGGGTTCAGAGTTTCGGGTTTTGATTTTAGGGTTTTGGGTTTAGGGTTTAAATTTTAGGGTTTAAGGTTTAGGGTTTAGATTTTAGGGTTTAGCTAGTAGATTCTAGGGTTTAGGGTTTAGGTTACCGGATGAGGACTTGAGAAATAGAGGGTTCAGAATGTTTAGAGAAGGACATGCAAGGCCTCTTTGAGGGGAGCTCCCCAACCTCGGGACAGTTTGGCGCTCAGGTGACTCACCCCCAGGCATTGCATCTGTGGCAGACTGAGTCCGACCCCTTGCATTCGAGGTTTGCCAAGAGCCTTCGACAAGAATCGTGTACAACAGCTCAAGGTAAGCTGGCGTAAACATCTAACTCCGACCACTATAGCCCCTTAGGAATTATTTTTTATGTCTTTGAAACCCAAGAGATTATTAATCATATCATTTTTAGCAAGGTTCTGGTCTAATGGTCCATACTGAAACTGGCTAGTTTCCGGAGGCTCGGCGCACACGACAGCACGCGTTGTGCGGGAACCACGTAAACCCCTAGTTGGCGCGCCCAAGGAGGGCAACCAAAGGAAGCCCTAAACCCTCAACCCCAAACCCTAAACCCCAAACCCTAAACCCTAAACCCCAAACCCCAAACCCCAAACCCTAAACCCCAAACCCCAAACCCCAACGCCTCATGTCCAACCCCCCTGCAGGAGCTGCACGGATGCACCGGGAGGATTGGGGACTTCATCGGACTTGTCCAGGCCGAGTGTTCTCAGTATTCACAGAGGGGGCCCCCTCCCTCCCGCCCTTCCCTCCCCTAGAAAAAAGGAAATACATAATTATATATATATATATATATTGTCATATATATATATATGTGCTTATGTTCAGGGGTTGGGGTTTAGAGCCCATCAGAGGGCTTCTGAGGTTAAGGGTGTTTGGGTTTACTTGTTTTTTTTTTTTGGGGGGGGGGGGGGGGGCAGAGGATGTAGGGTTTGGGAAAACACGAGTTACTACCAACAGAGACGGGTGCCATGATCTAAGTTAAAAGCAGAGCTGTTGCGAGTTTGAGAGCATATGACATATGGGGTTGCGAAGGATTATGAGGTTCAAGGCTTGTGGCTTTACAGGCTCTGGGGCTTTAGGAGCTCAGAGACTTGGGGCTTGAAAAACAGGGTTTGAGGGTGTAGGGGTCAATGAAGCACCCATGTGACGAGCACACCCCCAGCTTGTTGTCAACAACGCTGTCCCGAGTGTCCGCCCCTAAGCGCTTATCCCCAACCCGACACGTCAAACCCTGAACCCGAACCCTAAACCCCAAATCCTAAGTCCTAAAACCCTAAAACTCTAAACCCTAAACCCTAAACCCTAAACCCTAAAACATAAACCCTAAACCCTAAATCCTCATCCGAAGACCACCGAACGCAGGCACTGGGCAGAGCCAGCGAGCAGGGTCCTTCGCATGCAGCGAACCTGCTGCGCCAACTTCCAGAGATGCGCGCTCATCTTCACCCGGTTCTTCGGCCGACAGCTGAGGGTTCCAGGTTTAGGGTTTAGGGTTTAGGGTTCAGGGTTTATAGGGTTTAGGGTTTAGGGTTTAGGGCTTTAGATTTCTGGAAGCAGTTAGTACAGAGGGCCTGGGCCACTGGTCTGGGCGGTTGTTGGCCAGTGGTCAGGCGGTTGTTGGCCAGTGGTACCCTTTACCTTCTTGTTTTGGGGTTCTGCGATCCCCTTCAAACTACTAACTGCTTAAGAACCCCCAAAAACATGTAAAATGTTCTTCCTTATAGCGCCAATACCCTACCCCGGAACATCCAAGTAGCCAGCTCTGGGCGCAGCAGCACAAGTATTTCTCTAAGTCTATGTCCTCAAGACCTCGGCCTGCAAGGCTTTGTGGGGGACCGCCTTGGGAGCGTGCGGCCAGAAGGGTGCTTGGGATTTAGCGCTGGTCTTGCTGCTGAGCTGCACTTAGCGCTTAGGGCGCAGGTCCAGGGTATCTAAATCCACAACCCATAATTACATACTCCCTTTGTTTTTGGGTTAGGTGCCCCTATATTCAGGGGTTGAGGGTTTAGGGTCACATGCCTGTAAGCCCCATGAAGCATAGGAAAGGGCACGCTCTAGAGCTAGTAAGGGCCGTAACTTGGGATATAAGGATCCATGTGCCTACATAGTATGTCTTGGGCTTTGAAGGGGTTCCTATATGGTAGCTTCAGGGTCCAAGTACAGGAAGTTGGATCCTTAACTTAGGTCATTCTGTCGTTGCAAAGGAGGGGAGGGTGACCTAAACCCAAACTTCAAGGACGTATCTGTCACGACATCAGACTCATTGCAGTTGAGGGGTAACCCTATCAGTTTCCCTAAACCCTAAACCCCAAACCCCAAACCCTAAACCCTAAACCCTAAACCCTAAACGAGGCTGGGCGACATGTCGCAGCGCGCGCTGCAGCACGACGCCGAGTGCCTGGCTTCTGCGCTGGATGCGTCCGACGCAGCGGGGACCTGGGGCACTGCTTTGCAGCTGCTCCTGGGCTTGGAGTATGGGGGTTTCTGAAAATGGGGGTACCCTTTTTGGGGGTCCCGTTAAGGGGATTCTAGTTGTTGTTGGGGTATAAATAGGGGTAGGGAAATACCCGTAAAGGTGAGAGTAGAGGGCCAAGAGTTCAGGGTTTGTCTTTGGGCTTGTAAGTGCCTGGGGCCCAGGGTTTTCAACATAATTGAGGCATTGAGGCATCTATCAGGGTTTGGGCAGGTGCGTGAGTTTTGTAGCTTGGTTTTCTGGCATTTGTCAACTGGGACGCCGCTGGGTTCTGGACCTTGGTTTTTAGGGTCTGGGACATACCGGGGTCTTGGTCCAAATGTGCTTTGCCCTTGCAGCGGATCGCTGCATACAGTTGCAGTACTGCCATCTTGACGATGTGCCCTGTGTCGTTTGCGCAATTCTGCTGACCGCTACAGTAGGGTCACGAACCTCTTTAATCACCAGGATTATCCCCTCATGCTCCCTACATATTCTTTGGTCAGAAGCTACCCCAAATACCCATCCTGACACCCACATGCCGTAGACTATCATTCGTGGAATGTACAAACCGTTCTCGTTTGCGCGTTAAACGCAACAGATTATTTCCCATCATACCCCATCCCAACCAAAGAGGCCCTGGACCCTAATCCCTAACCCCTAAACCCTCAACCCCTTATGATTCGTAACTAAGCCCTTTCTTACCCTAAACCCAGAAGCACCTCAACCTTAGAGGCTCCCACCCCGTGCCCACCAAGGCTGGACGACCTCCTGGAGGGAGCTGCTGCCGGTACCAAGCCAGGAGGTTCGGAGGACTTGCTCTGCGCCACCGGCCCCTTGAGCGAGACAAAAGCACAGAAAACCAAGAAAACAGAACACGGCCTAAGGGGTGGTTTAGGGGTTAGGGTTTTGGGTTTATGGTTTAGGGTTTAGGGTTTAGGGCTTAATCCCTAAACCCTAAACTGCAAACTCGACTATCAACCCTCAACAAGCCCTTATCAACCCAATAGCCTCCAAAGCATCTTAAGGCCCTAAGCCTTTCAACCTTTCTAAAGCCCTTCAAGTAAAGTCCTTTAGGCGCGAGGAAGCCCTTTAAGCTCTTCTCAGCCTCGAGACCCCAAAGGGCTTTTAACAGGGTTGAAGGCTCAGAAGCCCGAACCCCTCAGAAACCACCCCTGGCCCTGAAAGCCATGAGAACTAGGGTTTCGGGCTGCGGGTTTAGGAGTAGATGAACCGCCTTGTTTAGGTTACTTTTTCAGCCTACTTATAACTATCCATGAACCTCAAAGTACAGGGAGGTGAGCCCGTTTTTTTTTTTTTTTTTTTTAACTGTAGGTAAGAGACTTACAAAGGCAATTCCCAAAGTTGGGAAACTCTAACCTCCCCCAACTCCCTTTTGTAGGATCCCCGCCCCCCCCCCCCCCCCCCCCCCCGCAAAAAAAAAAAAAAAAAAACAGAAAAGCAGCCTCTAGTTCCGAACCCCCCCCCCCTCCATATCACAACCTGCAGAGTTTCGGTTTCGGGGTCCATAGGGCTTAGGGGTCAACACCGTGAGGTTTCTAAGCTCGCAGGGCAGCCTCAACCCTGAACTCCCCGATCTGATTGCCAGAAGGACACCATGAGCTTAAGTATGCACCTGGGCCCAGCACGTCGCCATGTAGGAACCCTCCTTCAAGAGCCGAGTATATAGTGTCCGCCTACACGGTCCTTGGGGGGTTAGTGTATGTGCTTCAACAACATCGGCTGCTGCTGAGCAATGCTGCTGCCATATGGATTGTTTAGTCTGCTTCAAGTCCCCAAGCCCTAAACCCCAAACCCTAAACCCTAAACACTAAACCCTAAACCGGGCCCCGGTAAACCTTAAAGGTACATCCCCAAAAGCTTCGGACACAGTGCCCAAGTTTGACATGGAAGCGTGGTATATATTGGGATGATCCCCCCCGATATACTAACAGTCCTTGATATCGGGATTATAGTACGCGCTATTGATAATCCTTATTAAGGACTGTGAGTATAGAGGAGGAACATCCCAATATATATATATATATATATTTATATTTATATATTTATATATACATATATAAAAATATATAGATATATTTACACACCATGTATATGTTAGTTCCACAGAAGGTTCGCTTGTGTCAGGGCTCTACGGGTGTTGTCTCTCGTTCGAGGAAGCCAGATCGCACAAGGATCATGCTTATGGTCTTCCTTGAAGACGAAATGAACCCTAAAATTGGGGGTCATATACCCTATTCTACTATATTTCCTATTAAGGTATATGAACCATAAACCCTTTTAGGGCTCATGGTCTTCGCATGCTCCTTACGTGCGCGATCCCGGGACCGAGCTAACAAGCTTGTTTTCTTATAGGGACAACTGATTCTCCATAGCTGCCCCCGCTAAACCCTAAGCCCTAAACCCTAGACCCTAGACCCTAAGCCCTAAGCCCTAAGCCCTAAACCCTAAACCCTAAACCCTAAACCCTAAACCCGAACCGAGCCCAGCCGAGGCCTCAGCGCTTGCGCTCAAAGCAGCTGGCGCCTGGCCCCTGAGCTGCTACGCCAGGCCACGCTGGGGTTTCATGCTTAGGGTTTAGGGTTTGGAGTTCAGGGTTTAGGCCACGCTGGGGTTTGCGGCCTTGAGGCATTCAGGGTGGGTGGCTTTAGGGGGTTCAGGGCTGTCGGGTTTTGGGTCTTAAAGATCAAGGATAATTTTTTTTTGGGGGGGGGAGGGGGGGGTGCAGAAAGGTTTAGGGCTTGGGGTTTTTGGGTTCGAAGGTGCAGGGGTTTAGGGTTGACATTTAAGGGCTTATAGGTCCCTAAGCCCGAAACTCTGGAGGTTTTTAGGTCTTGCCTTCCGGGTTCAGACCCTACAAGCTTGGGGGGGGGGGGTGCGCAGCGTGTAAGTTAAGGCTTTAACGAAGGTTTTTAGCCCTTAGGGTTTGGGGTGAGACCTGGGGGCCTAAACCCTGGGCACCTCCTAAAGTATAGGGGTCCGTCGCATATATCCCCCAAAATGGCCGAGTCCTCATGATCGTGGGTGCCTGGCCAAGAGGGTTGACGAAGAACCCTCAACCCTACACCCTAGCCCTAAACCCTGAACCCTAGACCCTAAACCCTAAACCCTAAACCCCAAACCCTACACCCTAAACCCGAAATCCAAAAGCCCCCTCTTCACCCCCTTCAATGAAGCAGCACAGGCCACCAAGTCAGGCCTACGACCCTCAAGCCTGAGCTGGTGCCTTGCTTGGAGAAGAAGCTGCTTTTCAGTCTGGGGGTTTAGGGTTTAGGGTTTCGGGTTTAGGGTTTGAGGAGGCTTTGAGAAGACTCTATTTTCCATGATATAGCGCTTAGGGTTGAGGGTCTAGAGGATTGGTTTGTCATTTCATCTTTTGTGTTTCTTTTTTTTATGCTGTGTTTTTTTTGGCGGGGTGTCCTGTCAGAAGGGGTTGTAGTCTTTTGGTGTACAGAAGAGGTGTCCCTACTTTGGGAACTCATGTTGGTGCTGATTTTCTGATTGATTCGACATGGTCAGTCCGCAACATTGTGGTCCTTTTTTGGGTACCCTATTTATTAGGGGCCGCCTGATAACCGTAGCCTCAAAAGGAACCATAACTTCGAGAAGTGTCTAAAATAATTGTCATGTCATGGAGATACCCTACACTTAAAACCCTAAACTTAAGATTTTCCCCCTTGTACTAAGAGTCCTTAATAGGTACTATAGTACGCCTATAAAAAGCCCGATTCAGGACTGTTAGTATTAGAAAAAGTGTGGAACATCCCAACCCTAAACCCTGAAACCTAAACCTAAATCCTAAACCCTTAACCCTTAAACCCTAAACCCGGGCCGTTGATGTCGCTTACAGAACAGCTCACACCACGGAGCTGCTTAGACTGGGAAGGTCCTTGGGATATTCTCTTGTGCTCTTTTTGTGGGTGTAAGAGATTTGCTTTGTTCTTAGGGTTTAGGGTTTAGGGTTTAGGGTCTAGGGTTTAGGGTTTGGGGTTTCGGGTTTAGGGTTTAGGATCAGACTTTAGGGCTCAGGGTTGATAGGGTTTCGGCCTGAGGTGTGCGATGCTCCCGCCCTTGGATGTCGATTCCTGGGCCTGCGCCCTGGAGGTTCTGGCAGGTGTCGGCGAGCAGCACCTCGTGCAGCATAAGGGGGCGGGTTTAGGGTTTAGGGTCTAGGGTTTAGGGGTTAGGGTGTAGGGTGTAGGGTTTAGAGGGTTGTCAGTAGTTTAGGGTAGGGTTCAGGGGTGAGTTGCAGTAAGACTGTTTGTAGGGTTCGGACTTTAATTTAAGGTTGCCAGGTCTTGTGAGTCTCGGTTTTGTTGAGTACCACCCCCCCCCCCCCCCACCACCACAACACCTTGTGCCACACCTAAACCCTCAAACCTAAAACCCTAAACCCTGCACACCCTAACCCCGTGAACCCTAGCACCCTGACACCCTCCCTACCACCCCTAAAACCTAACACCCCAGCAACCTAGACCCTAACACGCTAGACCCTAAAACCCTAACACGCTAACACCCTAAACCCCAAAACCCTAAAACCCTAAACCCTAAAGCACAAACACCGCCCGACACCCTAACACCCTAAACCCTAACAACCCCTAATACCCTCACACCCTAAACCCTGAAACCCCAAACCCTAACGACACCCTAAACCCTGAACCCTAAAACTAAAACCCTAAGCCCTAAAACCCTTAAACCCTAAAACCCTAACACCCCCTAAAACTCTTCAACCCTAAGCCCTAAACCCCAACACCCTGAACCCTAACCCCTTAACCTTAAAACTCTCACACCCCAAAACCCAACACCCTAAACCCTCAATCTTAAAGCCCTCACACCCCAAAACCCTAAACCCTAAACCCCAAGGTCCGTGCCCATCACCAGCTCGCTCTTGGGCGCGGTGGTGAACTCACTGAAGCCCTGGAGCACTGAGTGGAGGCTAGCATCAGGCCTGGACTTATGACTTGGTTCCAGGAGTTTAGGGCCTAGGGCTTAGGGTTTAGGGTTTATGGTGTAGGGTTTAGGGTTTAGGGGGTATAGCACCTCGGTACCCTGTCCCTGCTTTTTGGTTCAGGGTTCACTTTAGGGTTTAGGGTTCAGAGCGCAAGGTCCCCCTTTGTTTTTCTTGTCTTTACTGAGTTTCTGTTTCATCTGACCCGATTTAGGGGCTTGATAGCTCTACCGAGGATTCTGGATTTAGTTTTTAGGTGCGGCGAGAATCGTGGCTGGGAAGTCCCGAAACCCTAAAACCCGAATATCCTAAACCCAAAGCTCTAAACCCCCAAACCAACGGCCTAGCTCTCCGCCTTCCGGTACCCTAAACCCTAAACCCTAAACGGTTTAGGGTTTAGGGTTTAGGGTTTAGGGTTAGGGTTTAGGGTTTAGGATTTAGGGTTTAGGGTTTAGGGTTTAGGGTTTATATACGGTTGCAGTAGCCCTTACATAACACATTTCGAGCCACTGAAAATGCACGGCAAACCCAACGAAAGAAATGCTCAAATAAACAGAGCCGCTCGAGTGCAAGGCCTCTTGCAGTGGGCTACTGCGTGGCACGTGCAGACTCATGCAGCCAGGCAGCAGCCCTCAGCGGGCAGGCTAAACCCTAAACCCCTAAACCCCTAAACCCCTAAACCCCTAAACCCTAAACCCTAAACCCTGAACCCTAACCCTAAACCCTAAACACTAAACCCTGAACCCGAAACTTGCAAACCTCAAGCACCCCGAGCCGAATCCCAAAGACTTGCTGGAGAGGCTTTAGGGTTTAGGGTTTAGAGTTCAGGGTTTAGAGTTTAGGGTTTAGAGTTTAGGGTTTAGGGTTTAGGGTTTAGGGTTTAGAGTTTAGGGTTTAGGGTTTAGAGTTTAGGGTTTGCTTTGCTGCAGCACACAAGCCTTACGCAGCCATAGCTGGGAATGAACGGTTCGGGGGTCGCAAGTAAGTCGTATCATAAACCCTGAGCCCCTAAACCCCTAAGCCCTAAACCCTAAACCCTGAATCATAGCTCATGATGATATCACACATCCCGGGAAGGTGTAGAGTGTACTGCACATGTCGGCGAGCTTGTTCACACAGGCTGTTTTCATGGCGCTACATCAGTCTGAGGCCCCGCAACCTTGCACCCCCAGGGAAACCCTCAACCCTAAACCCTAAACCCTAAACCCCAAACCCTAAACCCTAAACCCTAAACCCTAAACCTAGGGTTCAGAGTTTAGGAGGGTTTCTGTTTCGTAGCAAAAGTGTAGGGTTCAGTGGCTCAAGGCTCAGCGTGTAGGGTTGAGGCTTTGAACCTGGAGGTTGGCGTTCAAGGGCTTAGGGCGCAAGGGCTCAGAGGTTAGGGTTTAGGGTTTAGGGTTTTGGGCTTGGACTTGAGGGTTCGTCGGGATGAGCACGCAACTTCCCACGCTGCCAAGGTCGGATGCCATAACGCAGCCACCGGCCTTTTCGCTTCCGCCTCCGCTTGGGCAGCTGCTGTGTGCCTTGGGCAGGCAGATCCGAACTCCAGAGGGTTTGGGGTTTTGGGGTTAGGGTTTAGGGCTACCGCACCATGAACTTTTCATCCTCAGGCAAGGGAAAGCCTGAACATTCCTTTCGTGCAAATAAACAAACCAACGAAAAACTCATACATATTTCGTAGATCGGCAAGTTTATATACACGTACATCTGTATTTTGCTCATGAATTCTACTCTTCAATTTAACGCCAATTCTCTAGTATTGCTTAACAGAGTATACTACATGATGCTTCCCTAAGAGTCCATGTACCTGACTAGGGAATACTTGGGCCTTAGAGTACTTGCTATATAAGGACCTTGGTTCCCAAGCCTCTAATAATAAGGTACATGGACCTCTAGGGTAGGGTTTAGGGTTTCGGGTTTAGGGTTTGGGGTTTGGGGTTTGGGGTTTAGGGTTTCGGTTTTAGGGCAAGGAGTATTGGGGGAGGGGGGGGGGGGGGGGGGGGGCAGGGCCGCATGTTGTTGAGGCTCGCGACAAGGTATACGATGTTGGGGCTCCAACTTCAGTGCTGTGGGCGCATTTCGGGTGCTAAGGTATCGGGGTTTAGGGATTAGGGTTTCTGAGGACCCTAGGTCCTTGGTTAGATGGAACCCCGCCGTCTACAACCCGAGCTTGCACGTCCCCACCGTTCTCACCATAACCTCCTCACCATCTTTGTCATATTGGGTAACATTTTACATTTTCAAGGGTACTTAAACTCAACCAGGAATAGAAGTTCAAACCTTTTAAATGCAACCCCAATCATGAACTGGGTAACATTTTACATTTTCAAGGGTACTTAAACTCAACCAGGAATAGAAGTTCAAACCTTTTAAATGCAACCCCAATCATGAACTAGCCATTTTCTGTGGTAACCTGGGAACCCAGGCTTCTTTCCATGCTGACAGGAGCTAGGGGGCCTGCACTCTCTAGCTAGCATTTCTAGCCCTGAACCCTAAACATTAGCCCCTAAACCCTTAACCCTCAACCTTCAACCCTCCACCCTAAGCCCAAAACCCCAAGCCCTAAGCTCTAAGCCCTAAGCCCGAAGCCCTAAGCCCTAAACCCTAAACCCTAAACCCTAAACCCTAAACCCTAAACCCAATCAAGGGTCCTGATACTAACTCACAACTCTACTTCTCACTCGGGGGCTGCCAGTGCGGAGTCCAAGGCAGCAGCTTGACAACATGCACTGGTCGTGGTGCCACCTCGCGCCGCAATCTGCACCCAGAGGATAGGCTCTTTTTCCCTCTGTATAGGTAGTATAGGGTTTGGGGAGTTTAGGGTTTAGGGTTTAGGGTCTAGGGTCTAGGGTTTAGGGCTAGGACCCGGAGTAGGCCCTTATTCCGCTTTTGGGGGGTTTAAGGTCTCTTCTAAACCCCTTTAAAACAAAAAGGGCACCTTCGTACTAGGTTACTCTTGTGTCTAGGTTAGGTCAGTCCTAAACCCTAAGCCCTAGACCCTAAACCCTAGGTAAGCCCTAAACCCCTCAACCCTAGGCCCTAAACCCTGAGCCCCAAGCCCTAAACCCTAAGCCCTACACCCTAAGCCCTATAAACGCTACTAAAGGACTTGGAGCGTGGTTCGCCTTGAAAGAACCCCCAGAATACGATTCAGGGAGATCATACGGATGAGGGGAGGCAAGGGTCTACTTGCAAGAAATTCGGGAAATACCCTAAACCCTAAATCCTAAACCCTAATCCCTGAACCCTAAATCGGGGGATAGTTGGGATTCGGACCGATGAAGAAGGCGTAGCTGGCCCAATTTGATCCTCCCCTTTGAAGTCCTGTTTCCTTTGGGTGAACCCCAAAGCCTGAACCCTAAACCGGGGATAGTTGAGATGAGGACCGATGAAGAAGGCTTAGTTGGCCCAATTTGGTCTTGATACTCCTTGGAATCCTCCCCTTTGAAGTGGGGTTAGGGTTTGGGTTTGGGTTTTAGGTTCAGGGTTTAGGGTTTGGGGTTTTCAATCACGGTCAGTCTATGACGAGCCAAGGGCCAAGGAGGACACTGACAAGCACTCGTCTTATCTGAACAAGTTGAAGCTTCTCACAAGGGACAACTCCCTGGCTGTGCTGGGCATTGCGCTTCCGAACATGGCCTCCTTCTTTCGTCGCTTGACAAAGAAGAGCCGAAAGGTCGGTCATCTTTGCACACATCAACCACTCAGAAAACGGCGGCTGATTTCCACGAGTGGGTGAAGCAGCGTTGGGCAGAGTATGGCTGTCGCCTGCAGGGACTCAACATGGATGGCAGCAAGACCACGTTTCAGGAGCAGAGCATTTCCTCATTGAATAGATGTTGGGAACAGATGCTAATGCTGGAGAATCAACCTGGACCCATGCTAAGTTCAATTGTAGTAGTTTCAAAACAACACACCAGTGAACACGCCAGTGGAAATTTAAGTTTGCCAGAAAACTTGCGCAGACCCCACTCTCTCAGACACTGTCCTGGCGCTTACAGCCCTAAACCCTGAACCCGAAACCCTAAACCCTAAAGGCTTATAGGACTTAGGCTGCAGAGTGCGCATGCTACGAGGATCCCCTTATCACCCCATATTTGTTCCTCGAAGTTATCTTGCGTACGTTGAGGGGTCATGTAAAGTACCAATAAGCCCTATAAACCCGATGAGCCCTACAAACTCCATGTGCCCTCTAAGCCCCTATAAACGTTGCAAACCTTATAAGCCCTAAGCCCTCTAAATCTTATAAACGTTACAAAACGCTATGAGCCCCAAAAGCCCTGTAAGCCAACAACTCTCAGGATCGCATCAGCGTTCAAGCCTCCCTGGCTGCATGCCTTGCTGGCTTGCGATGGAGGTGGGGTAAATATACAAACAATGTGGTGCCCCCAAACCCCCCAGCCCCACCCACAAACATACAAAAAGAGAGAGAGAGAGAGAGCCAAACCTCAATGACTTGATGAGGTTCGCAGTATGCAGGACTGAAAATCCCGATTGAAAGATTGAGTTTCAATCCCTTAGGCTCAAAATAACCCAAAAACCTTATATAATGAGGTCATTGGGCCCAAAAAACTCTTAAGTAAGAGTTCTTGGAGCCTTAGGGTGAAGGGGCTCAAGATCCCAGATCCAAGGGCCTCAGGAGACTGTCGGGAAGCCATCTTGGATGCGGAGGTCCCGAAAGAAACCCTGATGTGAGGTTTAGGGTTCAGGGCTTAGGGTTTCGGGCTGAGGGTTTGAGATTGGGTGGTTTCCGGAATAGGGGGTACCCTATTTGGGTCCTTATGATAAAGGAATCCTCCTATTTGGTGGTCTACATTCGGTATCCCATCATTTTGGTAAACTCCCACGTGAAAAGCGCGGTTCTAAACCCTAAACCCTAATCCCTAAACCCTAAACCCTAAACCCTGCTATACGCGTAAATCCTAAACCCTAAGCCCTAAACCCTAAGCCCTAAGCCCTAAGCCCTAAGCCCTAAACCCTAAACCCTAACCCTAAACCGACCATGAACCTCAAGAACCCTCCAATCCACGAATCCCGACAAGTCCTTGGGCCGGCGAAGGCCAGCCTTGAGCGTGTTAAGCCACGGGGACATCTCCGGCCAGGAGGTCAACATCGCTGCCCAGGCTGCTTAGGGGGTTTAGGGTTTTTAGGGGGTTTAGGGTTTTTAGGTTTTTAGGGTTTTTAGGGTTTTTAGGGTTTTTAGGGTTTTTAGGGTTTTTAGGGTTTTTAGGGTTTTTAGGGTTTTTAGGGTTTTCAGGTTCTTTAGCGTTTTTAGGGTTTTCAGGGTTTTCAAGGTTTTTAGGGTTTAGGGTTGTGAGGGTTTAGGGTTTAGGGGCTTCCGTGGGGCTTAGTTTTGCCTTTTTGGGGGTTGAGGGCTTGGGGCTCAGAGCAATGCTTTGCAAACACCTTGCTTGTTTGCCATGAAAGCGGTTTAAGGTTGAGGATTTAGGGTTAGTTGTTTGGTTTTACGTTGGGGACCACCACTGGAAGGATCCCCCAACAAGCAGGCTTGACATCCTGCAGGGTGTCTGAGGACCAAAAAGGGCCCTGAAATTGGGGTCCCGGGAAGTTTTCAAAGTCGCGATTCATCAAGGGCCAAGCTCAAGAATAGGCCCTCATTCCTTTTGAGCCCCTTTGAACCCTTTTTAGAGCCTGGGTTACTCGGTCTAGAGGAACTTCGAATGGTTTAGGGATGGTCCCTCGAAAAAAACTAACAATCCTTAACAGGGAGTATAGTCCCCCTAAACCCTAAACCCTACATACCCTAGGCCCTAAACCCCCACCACCCCACTGTTAGTATAGAGGGGAGTATTCGAAGGACTCATGGGATTGAGATAGCTGCAGGCAGGTCGGGCACTGGCATCCCTCTTAGGGTTTGGGGTTTCGGGTTTAGGGTTTGAGTTTAGGGTTTGAGTTTAGGGTTTAGGGTTTAGGGCTTAGGGTTTAGGCCTAGAAGCCCTTTGAACTTTATTACATGCCTAAACCCTAAACCCTGAACCCGGAACCCTAAACCCTAAACCCTAAACCCTAAACTCTAAACCCTAGCCCTAAACCCTAAACCCTAAACCCTACAACCTACAACCCTACAACCCACCTCCAAGAACCCAAACCCTGCCACCACCAGGTCATGGCCCAGGCTGCCCAGTGGTTCTCAGCCCTCTCACTTCTGAGAAGCGCAAGAGGCGGCCGGGAGGGGCTCAGGGTTTAGGGTTTAGGGTTTGGGGTTTGGGGTTTAGGGTTGAGGGTTTTGGGTTTTGGGTTTAGGGTCGGAATCATTTAGCCCAGTGGTACCCTTTGTCCCTTTTTTGGTTTTAAGGTTCCCTTATAAAGTATCTAACCCCCACAAAAGGTACCCTAACTACAGTATGGTTACTGGGCTACCAAGAGAAGGGTTTGTCGGGTTCGTCTTTAGGGTTGAGAGAGCTTCGTTTCGGGGTCTCTGGAGTACATAGGCGTTTGTTGGGGTTAGCAGGTTTTCGTGACAGGTCTTTTTTCGGACTTCAATGCTCAGTGCTATTTCTGAAGGCCCTGGCTTGGGAAGATGCGTACGCCTACAGCACACACTTCGGGTGTTAAATTCAAAGCCTTCGCTCTAGTGCCGGAGGGGGGGGGGGGGGGGGTGCTCCTTCCAAATCTAAAATCACCCCTACACCTTTCTCAAAACCCCCTCACCCCTGACCCCTACAGCCTAAAACCCCAAACCCCCTGGCCCTAAACAAACTCCTCAACCCCCCTAAGCCCCCCCGAAGCCGCCAGAAGCCCCTAAACCCGAAACGCCCAACGGAGGACGAGGTCTGGTGCCAGACACCACATCACTCCCCGGGCTGGCCACGGCGATGCAACAGGCACCGCGACAGCGTTTCCTTAAGGGTCCACTTCCACGAATCCTTCCCCCCCCCCCCCCCCCCCCCCAAATCCCTAAACCCTAAGCCCCAAACCCTAAACCCGAAGCCCAAAAAACCCATCCTAAACCCTAAAGCCTATACCCACCCTAAACTCTGAACCCATGCTAAACCCTAAACGCCAAACTCTCATGGTTCAGGGTTTAGGGTCCTGGGGTTGCAGGGAACAAGGACCCGGTGGTTATAGGGGCCCCTATAGTGGGGCTGCTGGTGGGGGAGATGCCCTCTGATCCTGATGGTTTGTCCGCTTCTTTTACATCATGGGGTACCTTCTTGGAAACTTTCCGCAAGCTTCGCACAAAGAAGCCCAAAACCCTAGACCCGGTAATCCGGTAACCCTAAACCCCAAACCCTGTAAACCCTGCGGCCCCAATCCGCAAACCCTATAAACCCTAACCCTGAACCCCTGTAACCCTAAACCCTGTAAACCCTAAACCCTAAACCCTGTAGACCCTAAACCCTGTAAACCCTGTAAACCCTGTAAACCCTGTAAACCCTGTAACCCTGTAACCCTAAACCCTAAACCCTAAACCCTAAACGCCATCCGCCCATCCCGAAAAAAAGAAGCTCCGCCAGGCCAAGCCTGACACACCGCTGCGGAAGCCTGAGCTCCAAAAAGGGGCGGGGGGGGGGGGGGGGGGGGGGGGTTTAGGGTTTAGGGTTTAGGGTTTTAGGGTTTAGGGTTTAGGGTTTAGGGTTTAGGGTTTAGGGTTTAGGGTTTAGGGTTTAGGGTTAGGGTTTAGGGTTTAGGGTTTAGGGTTTAGGGTTCAGTGCCCTTCCCCCAACCCTTAAAGCTCCAGATTTGGAAGCCATCGTTTAGGGTTTAGTGTTCGGGTTTTCACGGGGTTATATACCTTGAACCCACATAGTCTCAAACCGTAATCCTAGTCCCGAAAACTCTACACACTAAACCACTGAGTGCAAACCGGTGCATTGGGGGGCTTAGGGATACAATGTTTCGGCCAAGGCATTCATAACGTGATGGTGCAGCGGGTTTCGTTTGGTAGTCTTTCCAAGATACCCTGAACCCTACTGAGCCCTAAACCCCGTGCTGCGGCAGAGGACTCACCTCCCTTATAAGCCGAGACCCTTAGATTTTAGGTGTTAGGGCTTGCGCGTCGTGACGCCGCCATGTGGTACCAGAGATGGTTTGCTTGTTGCCAAACGTGCTGCGCCGACCCTGACACTGCCTTCTTCGAGACCCTCACCGTCCCTTCGATTGCTGCGTGCGAGAGCCCGCGGAGTGAGGGGGCACGCGGAATATGCAGCTATGATTCCTTTTCAGAGTTTTGAGGGTCTATAGGTCGGGAACAGGTTCCCTGAGTATAAACTTCTCTTGAAGCAAAAATCGCATATCCCTTAAACCCTAAACCCTAAACCCTATAAATCCTGAACCCTGAACCCTGAGCCCAGGCAGGGAAGATGCAAGTTCAAACTTCTGGCTGAGCTTGGAGGGCTACTGGTACCGAGGAAGTGACAACTGCTGCGCCTCGCTGGACCGGAGAGGAAGCTGTGGTTTAGGGTTTAGGGTTTAGGGTTTGAGGTTAGGGTTTAGGGTTTAGGGTTTAGGGTTCGGCATCTCAAAGTTCAAGCATTCACTAGGTTAGCAGCTTTTCAAGCGCCCGAAAAGTACCCACCCACCCAGAGAATCCCATACCATTAAGAGAATAAACAGTTTCACACGCAACCCAAACTATTGGCCCCAATTGAACCCTGACACTCGTCCCTGAACTTTAGCCCTTTTCCTTGAGCCCGAAATCCTAGGTCTTCAACCCTCATGCCAGCCAGTGGCTTTGAAAATGACCCAAAAGCAACTCCTCTTTTCGGGCCGAGAATGGGGGGTTGCCCGGACAAAAGGGGGGGGGGGGTGACCTTGCCCGCTAAATATATTACCTTGCCCACAAAGTCATTAACATCCATATCATATATGAAAGAGTGGTTCAGGGTTCAGGGTTTAGGGTTTAGGGTTTAGGGGCCAGCCAAGGCGTGGCTGAAATTTGCAGGATGGAGGGCAGAGCCACGATCATCTGGCACATTCGTTGGAGAACTCCGGGAAAGTTTACCCGCCTTCGTGATGCGATGGCCTCCGACACGCTCGACACGATCATGTATGAGAGTGTAGACGAGGTTGTGACTGGCGAGATCCACCGGGATGCTCAGATCACCATTAGCTGGAGTGATGGCGAAGTCTGGTTCAAAAAGTGAGCACATGCATACGTCTGAGCCAGAAGCCAGCAGCAGCTGCATCGAGACTGCTGCACATCTTCACCTAAACCTATAGCTGTTTCCCTTACAAAGCCCCATGAAAAAGGGTGCCAGTCATGCAATGTCATGGCTAAAAGTGGGTGCTTTTCTGGGTCCGGAAAAAGCTCAGCACTCCTGTTTTTGAGGGGTGAAGGGTTTTCGGGGGCCCTAGTATCAGGATAATGGTGTTTCGAGCTAAGGATATCTAATGGGCAATGTTGTTGCCCATCTCGAACTTTATTCGGCAATACTGAGTTCGTCGTCTAGCACAGCCTGTCATGAGGCTCCCGCCCTGTTTAAAATTCACATCCACGGGTACCGTGGCGTTGCACTTAGTCTCGGTCTTAGCACAGATGCTTGCAGTTGGCTACCCCCACGATGCGGAGGTGCGTGGCAAAGGGAGTACGCTGCAAAAACTTAAACCCCCTACACATCCACAAGCCACCAAGACTGCGCAAACGCCCAAACCATTCCATTCGTGTGCTTAACCTCTAAAGCCGTCTAAAGCCGCAAGGTGTCAAAACTTCCCCAACCCAAATCATCTGTACCGCTTCCCTGTTGAGGGATTAAGGTTGAAATTTCGCCTACGAGACTTGAGCAGCTAAACCCTCCACCCGACACTTCTCTAAGCCCTAAATCTCTCCTACCGTTCCTAAACCTTTTAACATTTTACTGAGCCCTGAGCGCATGAAAGCCGCAAGCCCCCCAAGCCACAAACTCCCATGTCATAGCTTAACCCCTTCAAACTCCCCAAACCCCTAAAGCAGCCGAACAACAACCCTACACCCCTGAAAGCGCACCAAATTTCTGCAATCCCCCTAATCCCTAAACGCCAAAACCCTAAAGCCTTAAAACCCTGCAACCCTGCAACCCTAAACCTCCGCAGTCCCGAAAATCCTGCAAAGCCCTCAAAGACTCAAAAACCTGCCTCAACCCTAAACCCCAGACCCCAACCCCGAAACCTTAAACCCGAAACCCTGAACCCAAACCCTCCTGTTTTCAACCAAACCCTAGACCCCAAACCACAAACCCTAAACCCTAAACCCCAAACCCCTAACCCCTAACCCTAAACCCGAAACCCTAAACCCTAAACCCGAAACCCTAAACCCTAAACCCTAAACCCAAACCCCAGACCCCAGACCCCAAACCCCAAACCCTAAACCCTGAACCCTAAACCCTAAACCCTAACCCCAAACCCTAAACCCTAAACCCTAAACCCCAAACCCCAGACCCCAAACCCCAAACCCTAAACCCTAAACCCCAAACCCTAAGCCCTAAACCCCAAACCCTAAACCCCAAACTTCGAGGTGGCAGGCCGGCCTCGCGCAGCTCCTCGACGCCCGGAGCCGGCGCCAGGTGGTCGGAACCGACACCTACCAGGCTTTTTTTTTTTTTTTTGGGGGGGGGGGGGGGGGTTAGGGTTTAGGGTTTAGGGTTTAGGGTTTAGGGTTTAGGGTTTAGGGTTTAGGGTTTAGGGTTTAGGGTTTAGGGTTTAGGTTGACAGTTTAGGGTTTAGGGTTAGGGGTGCAGGGATTCTTGGGGCTTGAGTTTCTTTTCTTTTTTTGTTTTATTGGGTTGGGCCGACTTGCTGATGTCAAGGCTTATGTCGGGTTTATGTCGGGTTTGGGGATTTGAGGGCCCGGGCTTCTCCCTGCAGGAAGGCTTCAGGGTTTAGCGGTTTAGGGTTGACAGCTTAGTTGTTGTGATAAGGGGGTTTCATGGGTTTCCCTACTACCCCCCTCTAAACGACCCGCCCAGCTTCCCCCTCTAGATAACCTTATTTAAGCTTAGTTATCCCCAAATAGCCATAATTATGGGGGGGGGGAGGGGTAGTTTGCGACCCTTCATCGACCCAACACCCTGGGTTTTGGCTTCAGGGTTCCGGGTTTAGGGCCGTTTAGGGTTCAGGGTTTAGGCTTTAGGGTTTAGGGTTTGGTGCAGGCCATCATCGTGAGCAGCTTCTGACATCAACCGCCGCACCCAGGCCTCATAGGGCACGCTACCATCGGAGGAGGAGGAGGAGGAGGAGGAGGAGGAGGAGGAGAATCATGGGTTCCCTAAATCGCTAACCCCTGAACCCTAAACTAAGCCCTCAACCCTAACCGAGGTTCATGGATTCAGTTCAGGCTTTAAGGTTTAGGGTTTTGGATTGGGACGTTCCCCCCTCTACTAACAGTCCCTACTAGGGATTCTAATAGGGGTACTATAATCCCCATTACGGACTGTCAGTATAAGGGGAACATCCCAAGTTTAGGATATCGTTTGTTTCAGGTATGCAAGTAAGTCGAGCATCCCAACCGTGCCCATGTCCCTTTCGGCTTCGGCCATGTCTGCCCGAAGTCCTGGCCTTCATGGGCTTCTGTCGGTAGTAGGGAGCTCAGGGTTTGACGTTTAGGGTGGAGGGGTTTAGAGTTTAGGGTTTAGGGTTAAGGATTTAGGGTTTGATGACCAAACACAACTTCCACGTCACAATGCTTCAGCTCCATACCCAAGACATCAAGTTCAGAGGTCCCAGCCCCAAACCGACCCGGCCCTGGAGGCACGCAAGCCTGCCGTAGTTAGGCTTTAGGCTTCAGGCTTCAGGCTTTAGGCTTTAGGGTTTAGGGTTTAGGGTTTAGGGTTAGGGTTTAGGGTTTAGGGTTTAGGGTTTAGGGTTTAGGGTTTAGGGTTTAGGGTTTAGGGTTTAGGGTTTAGGGTTTAGGGTTTAGGGGTAGCCCCTCAACTCGAAACCCTAAACCCAGAAGCTACCATGCCAGTTCCGCGCGAGCTCGCGCAGCCCGGTGCCCCTGCAGCCAGAGAACCTCGAGCTGAGACGAGAACTCCTTGCCGAAGTCGTGCCCTCCGGGCACGCTCGGAGTTTTAGAGGCTTAAGGGTTTAGGGTTTAGGGTTTAGGGTTTAGGGTTTAGGGTTTAGGGTTTAGGGTTTAGGGTTTAGGGTTTAGGGTTTAGGGGGCTTCGGGTGCAGAGGAGGGACTGCCGAACCCTCGATTTCCTCGCAAGCTTTCTACAGGGACGAGACGCCTTGGGAACGGCATTGTGAGTTGATTTTTGCCGCCCTAAGCAACAACAACAACGTGAGTGTAGCCTCGGTGCGTGGAAAAGCGGATCCCTGCAGCCCTCGCTGAAAAAGATGCAGCTGTGCAGTGTTGGGGAGTCAGGGTTTAGGGTTTAAAGTTTAGGGTTTAAAGTTTACGGTTTAGGGTTTAAAGTTTAGGGTTATAGGGCTTAAAGTTTAGGGTTTAGGGCTTAAGGTTTTGGGCTTAGGAGTAAACCTTCAAGTAGCAGCGGGGGGCAGGATGGCATGGAGGGTTCAGAACTGGGGGGCGCTTCGGTGACGTCGAACCTGGGTCTGGATGCTTGGCTCATACAGGGTTTAGGGTTTAGGGTTTAGGGTTTAGGGTTTGGGGTGCAGGGTTCAGGGTTCAGGGTTGACGGCTGTTTTGGGGTATTTGTTGCGGGTATTTAGGGTAGGGTTTGGAAGTTTTCAAGGCATCCAGAGTATTCGGGGTTTCTTGGTGCTGTAGGGTTTGCGGGGCGTAGGGGTGTCAGCGTTGATCTGTAGCCAGTCCCATCCCCCACCCCTCCGGGGACAAACGTCCCACAACTCAAGAAACAACTGCCCTAAGCCCTAAGCCCTAAACGCTAAACCCTAAACCCTAAACCCTAAGCCCTCTAAGCTAGAGGTGACTTTGAAACCCTCCCACCATGCACCTCGGCTTGGTCAGGTGGCTGCGGCGGATCACCCTGAGCTGATGACAGCCTCAAACCCTAAACCCTAAACCCTAAACCCAAACCCTAAACCCTAAACCCTAAACCCTAAACCCTAAACCCTAAACCCTAAACCCTAAACCCTAAACCCTAAACCCTAAACCCTAAACCCTAAACCCTAAACCCTAAACCCTAAACCCTAAACCCTAAACCGAAACCCTAACTTCAAGCAACAACAGCCCTAAACCGAAGCCCTGTTGCCCCGCATCCGGGCTCAGAGGGCCCAGGGCCGCGCTAGGGCCTGGACGCCCTCTCCGCGGAAGGCCGAAAAGGGTGGAGGGTTTAGGGTTCTGGGGGCTTGGGGTTTAGGGGTTTAGGTTGGGACTGGGCTGTAACACGTTTCCTTTACAGGAATTTCAGCCATGTATTCGGGTTCATTTCACTCTTATCTTTTGGGATTTCAATCTTATTGTGGGGTGCAATTCACTGTTATCTATGTGTATTTAGGGCCTAAACCCTAAACCCTAAACCCTATTTTTTGGGTTGTACGGGCCATCCAAGTCCAGCATGTTGGGTCCCGGGGGAGGGGGGAAGGTCGGGCGTTCGAGTTTCTGACGCTTCAGGCTCTACAGGAGATAGGGTTTAGGGTTTAGGGTTTAGGGTTTAGGGTTTAGGGTTTCCTGCAGGGCTTTCAAGGCTTCAGTGGTGTAAGGGTGTCTCTATACCTTGAAGCCCTCCCCCCCCCCCCCCCCTACGTGACTTACAAACTATCTTGGGATGTTCCCTTATACCAACAGCCCTTAATAGGGATTTTAGTACCCCTACTATAATCCCTATGAAGGACTGTTTGAGAGGTAACATCCCAACCTACAACCCAAGTTACAGAACTCATGGCCCAACATAGGGCGGGAGGCGGCATCTGAAAGAACTTGTCACTGCCCTGAACCCTCAAGCCCGAAGCCCTAAATCCGAACCCTATAGGCTGTTTTGTTTTTTGTTTGGGAGGGGGGTGGGGGGGTAGGGTTTAGTTTTTGGTTGTTGTTTAGGGTTTAGGGTTTAGGGTTTGGGTTTAGGGTTTAGGGTTTAGGGCTCAGGGCTTACTGCTTAGGGCTTAGGGCTTAGGGCTTAGGGCTTAGGGCTTAGGGCTTAGGGTTTAGGGTTTAGGGTTTAGGGTTTAGGGTTGCGGGTTCTTAGGGGAGAGCGCTTGGGGATTTCCCGCGTTTGGACCAGGCGATGGGGACCGGCGAGGTGTTCCAGGAGGAGGAGGGCACGATCTGGGAGGTGATCGGAGGCGGGCGTGGCATCCGTAGGCTTTCACCTCATGGTTTAGTCAGGGTTTGGGGTTTATAAGGTTTCGGGTTTAGGGTTTAGGGTTTAGGGGTTCGGGTTTGCGGTTTAGGGTTTAGGGTTTAGGGGTCACTTCATGGGCTTCTTTGGTCTTTAGGGTTTACAAAGTTTATGGGGTTCACAGAATCTAGAATTGGCGGGGTTTCAGGGTTCATTTTGGATGTTTGTTTGCGATTGCAAGCCAGGGCCACATCTGGAGGGTTTAGGGTTTAGGGTTTAGGGGTTAGGGATTTGGGGTTCAGGGTTTCGGGTTTAAGGTTTAGGGTTTAGGGGTTTGGGGTTGTAGGGTTTTAGGGTTTAGGGTTTAGGGTTTAGGGTTTAGGGTTTAGGGGTAAGGGTTTGAGGGCTTTGGGTTAACCACATGGAGCCTTACGTGGTTGGGAGACATAACTCTACCTGATGCTAGTACAATCCAAACTGCACTCGGTGTTGGACCATGATCGTTTAGGTGTAAAGTACAAGGTGTAGTACAGGAGCCTGAATTATCAGCAAGATCATCCCCATTGAAAGCCCTTGTATAATGCAAACGGCAAGGCTAACCCTAAACCCTAAACCCTAAACCCTAAACCCTAAACCCTAAACCCCCCCAAAAAAATGCCCACCCTTAACTAGGGTCCCCATACCTTAAACCCTTCAACCCCGAAGCCCCCAAGGGTCCGTTTTGGCTCGACGATTATATCCCTATATAAGGGTACCTGAATAGGGTACACTTTGGCCTTACAGTATCCCTAAACCCCAAACCCCAAACCCTAAACCCCAAACCCAGCTCCTTCCCCCCCCCCCCCCCCCCCCTCCCGCCCTCACCCCACCCCTTCTCCCCCCCGCGATTCGATGCGAGGATCGGACAAGGGAGGAGCGCGCGACTCAGCACACTCCCACAGCTGGTCTCTTTCGGGATGTAGGGTTGTTTTTGGGTGCATCGGTTTGGGTTTAGTTGGGGGTGCAGGATTTCAGTCAGTGGTCATGTTTTTGTTGAGGGTTTAGGACTTGTGACTTAGGGGTATTGCAGCCTGTTTAGTCTAAGGGAAGTTTCATGGGCCCCTACAATGGTCCCGAACCTCCTTTAAAGGCCTCTGCTTTCTGGGCCCTTAATTTGTACACGGCATATAACGGGTATAGAGGGGGTACCCTTTTCAGGGCCCATATTCAGGGACCATGTAGCTACCCTTAGAACTAGCCTAAACCCTAGAGCCTAAACCCTAAACCCCTCATGGCCTAAGATCAACAAGGCTTCCCAAGGCATGTCACGATGTGGGGTTTGGCGTTTGGCTGCCGGGAGCTGCGTGTTGCAGCTCGTGGCCCGAGGTCATCGTTCGCGTGGATGAGGCCAGTGACCCTAAACCCTAGACCCTAAACCCTAAACCCTCAACCCTCAACCCTCAACCCTCAACCCTAAACCCTAAACCCTAAACCCGAAACCGAACCCTAAACGTTTGAATCCCAGAGAAGGCACTACAAGGTCTCTGCAATCATGGTTCAGAGCTGCCCTAGCCGCGTGGTTTTCGATAAGACATGAGCCTCTACTTAGCCCTCCTGAACCCTAAACCCTAAGCCCTAAACCCTGAACCCCGAAGCCCAGACCCATAGATGCCATTTGTCGCACTTGGACCAGTGCCAGGTGAGCGACTTGTAAGGGAGGGTCCTGGTGAGTTTGCCATGGCCTGTCAAAGCCCGATATTAAAACAGTATACAGTCGTATCTCATGGCATATCATCATACATCAGAATGGTAAAACATCATTTATCATGACAAAACATTGTCTAAAATATGAAGTAAAGTAAGTGAACAAAAACAAGAATATCACATAGTACAGTATAGCAAGCCCAGACCTCTGCAAGTTCTCGTGACTGCAAAGGTTTGCTCGCTGGCTGAAACCAGGGGCAAATTTGGGCAAAGAAGCGTTTTGCTGT